CGAACCACCTCGAACGCGTCGTTCTCCCCCTCACCCCCCGAAACGTCGAGAGGAGCGACCTCGAACGAGTTTGGACGCGCCCGAACGCGCGCGAACGACGACGACAAAGAAAAAAAACAAAAAAATATTGGCGCGCGATTCTCCAAAACGGTCGGTAACGGCGCGAGCGCCGCTCCGAGCGCCCCCTCGAAAAACGCCCGCGTCCCCCGCAACGAGCCCCCGTTGGCGGCCCTGCCACACCCAACTTTACCCCATATGTTCCCCTCGCGTCGCGCTCCCCCTTTCGCCCAATAATCTCTTCCCCCCCCCTAGCCCCCCCCCCGCGCCCCCCTTCACCGTCCCCCGGCCCCCTCGCCCACCGCTTCCGGCGCTCCCCCCCCCGCAGGGGAGGCCCCCCCCCGACCCCGCTAACCGCAAGCGAGATCCCTAAGGCTCGGAGTATATATATGTTACCCTCCTACTGCGACACATTATTAATCGAAGTACGAACTTTGTTTCCGTGCGTATTATTCGACGCGGAGTCGAATTGCGACGGATAATCCGTGAGACCGCGTATGCGTAGAGTCATGAAGTCATGAATCTCCTTATACGTGGGGTATGCATCCGTATCGTCTCGCTTCAAATTTTATTCATTGCACGTTCGCGGACTAAACTTTTGCGATATAATGTAAACTAGGAAGTCGTCCCACGTATCGACAGGACGCTCGAGATTCGTTAAAGCGGCGAGAGCCGCGGACACGCTATCGCGAAGTTTTTTCAATTCGGTAACATTCTCGGTTTTTATTTTCGGTAAGTCGGCGAAAGAATGGATGTTCGCGTGAATAATCGCGTTACGGTTGTCGTACTCGTCGAGAAGAAGTTGCCACGCTGCCTCGTAGTTTGCGTCAGAGATGTGAATATTATTAATTAACACGGCAGCCTCGCCGGAGAAGCTCGTCTTCAAGTTATGTAACTTTTGAGTTTTCGTGAGGGATTCATTTTTGTCGACGAGGGACTCAAAAATTTCTCATTCCGGGAAAGCACCCGAAAAGTCGGAAGCAAAATACGAGGCAGATGCAATGACATGCCGAAGTGCGCGTCGCAATAAGATGACTCGTTACTTCTGTACGGCGCGGTCGGGGCGTCGTTACTTAATTCACCGATGACCTCGTGGAGGTAGTCCGCTGCGTCGAAGTAGGCTTCCTCGGCGGCAAGAAATTCTTGAAAATCTTGTTGAAAGTAGGGGGTCGACTTCTTCTCCTCCGCTGTAGCCGTCTGGTGAATCTGGACATGGAGGGCTTGAGCTTTCTCCCAGAGCGCCTCCAGATTCGTCAGTCTCCCCTTCGTCTTAGGGAGGGTGACCTGAGCCATGGCAAATTTTCTAAAGTTGGTCAGCGACCGCTGGAGCGAGGCAATCGTAATGCCTTAGCCGGTGAGTAGGTCCTTGAGATCCAGAGACATGTTAGCGAGATGTTTGGATCTTGTAGGCAACGATCTGACACCTGTGTGTCAATCGGATCGAAGAGCGAAGGCGCTCTTAAACGACTCCGCGGCGAGAAGCAGAACGATACTCGCGGGAGTCAGGGACGTATGGCACGTCGCAAAGCAGGGCGCCCGTCGGGCAGCGGTGAGCGTATCTCAACACGATACGTTTGCTGGAGGTCACGCAGGAGCCTCCGGAGCAGAGCGAAGCCGGGTAGCACCGGACTTTTTCTTCACAAGGGGCACCGATCTTTAAGAAAACCGAACAAGAAGAGCGAAGACGCTCTTATGCGTTTCCGCGGCGAGCAGCAGGGCGATACTCACGGGAAACAGGGACGTACAGCACGTCGCAAAACAGGGCGCCGGTCGGGCGGCGGATGCGTATCGCGATGATACGGTTGCTGGAGGTCGCGCAGGAGCCTCTGAAGCACTTCACAATTTCATAGGGCACCAATATTTAGGAGAGCGGGTGCAGAGCGCTCAATGTACTGAGTGAGTCACGGAGTGGAGAACGCGTATCGCGGAGTACCCGATGAACCGGGAATATCTGCCCGATCACATCCGATGTGCGACGGTTTGAACGGCGAACTCCGTTTGCGAGCGAGTCGAGCGGGCGCGACGGTCCGTCTGTCTCGGAGCACAACGCGATCACTATTGAGGCGGTCGAACTGTCTATGCCGGTTTTTTATTTATCACAATCCGGCTCGAAGGACCATTCAATGTTAGTGGACCGCTCGATGTTTTCGCGCGCCGCGCCGAGGAGAGCACAAAAAATAGTCAGTAGCTCGTGTAAAACGAGACAAGAGTCACTTTATTGAAAGCTGGTTACAATGTCAGATTCGCACTCGCTATTACACCACTTAGGCTTCGCTACGATTCGACTCCGTTTTTCGCTATCGACAAATACATGTGTCGCGTACGAATTGCTAGGGCTCACTGAGCTCCCGGCCGGAGCAAGCGAAGCGATCGCGGCCGGAGCTCCAAACTTTTCCGCGAGGAATTTCGAAACGTGAGAAATGCTGATTGGCTCCAAATCGTCGAGCGACCAGATTATTGGTCGCAGTACGAGCGATCACGCGATGTACACCTGTGGTCCGGGCGCGAGCGAAAACACCAAAAAAACGGGGGAAAGGCAAATAAATGCGTTTCGGAGCAAATCGAGCGTTCTCGAATATTCCCAACGCTCGCTTTCACTTTTCGAGCGTTAGATTCTCAACAATAGGAAACGAAACAGTCACAGAAGTGCAAGATACTAAATATCTAGGCATAATTATAGATAAGCATTTACTTTCGAGAAGCATGCATGTTACATGGCAAAAAAAGTAGAAAAAATAGGGTTTTTAGGACGAATAAGGAATGTTGTAAATAGTTATATAAAAGTATTGATATATAAAACAATAATCGCACCGCATTACAAATATTGTAGTAGTATAATGTTAAATTTTAATCAGGGCTTGATGCAAATGTTACAAAAAACGCAAAATCGTGCAATGCAAATAATACTAAATGTGAATAGGTTGTGACCGGACGGCACGTGTTGAGCCCGATTCCGGCGGATAATATTCCTATCAAACGGTCGCCACTCGGTTTTACCTTAGACTACCGAGAAGGTAAGTGTTCGCATCAACGCCCCGATTATTCGCAAGACGCTAATAGGATTTATTTGTTTCAGAAGGATGTCCCTGATGGATCACCGTTGCTGCTTCTCATCCCTGGATCCTCGCTTTACATCGCATACCAGATAGAGGTAAGTAATTATAAAATAATTATGTGATAATTATTTTATGTTTTGTTGCAGATCGACGCCCGGAATGGATCGCCGTTGCCGTTACCCGTCTCTGGATCCTCGCTTTACCTCGCATACCAGATAAGGGTAAGTCCCGATAATTATGTTTTAATTACGTACTAATTCGCTTCTTTTCTTTCAGGTTCCCGCCTCGGATGGATCGCTGCTCTGTTGCTGCTCTGCTTCCCCGGATCCTCGCTTTACATCGCATACCGGATTGCCGCTGGCCAACGTTGGATCATCGCCGAAGGACAAGGTAAGTAGAAAGTAAGTATCGATAATTTTTTATAATTAATCAGGAGAATTTGTTTCAGAATTAATTAATCTTTAATTCCAGATTATCATTTCAACATTACAGGCTGTTCGAGATTCCGTTAACGCTGCGCCGTCAGATTAGATGGCAGCATCGATCGGGTAACGACGCTAGATCACCGCGGCAGCTTGCGCCGCGCACGGGCGCGCTCATTGCCAACGTCTCCCTTGCGATATTCCGAGTCGTACAAATGGCCGCGCAGTGATCAGACGCACGACGTGTGCTCTGTGCATTTTTGATTGTGACTACACATCAAAGTGCTCACCGCAGTGATTACAACAGCTGCCGAGATACTGCATTAACATGTAAAGCGACCGCTCATCCAGCTCTACTCGGGTACATCAACACGACGACTCAGGCTCACAAGTGCGCGAGTGCCGACCGCCACGTGTCTCACCGGCTCACGGGCGATTCATCGAAGAGGACGGCACTTAATATAATTGCCTTTCATTTACACGGACTATATACACCTCATTTATACACCGCTCATCGATTCTCAGGTCAGATTGTATCAATTTCGACGCATTAAAGACGCATTAAAGACGGCTCAGACTGTGGTCTGAGTTACACAAAATAAAGTGAATATTTAGTTAACACCTTCCACGCGCGTCCTTCTCATCCCGCTTCCATCGCCGGGATTAATTAGCGATTTCGCGAACACAGGCCGTTTCACAATATTATAAAGGTGTCTCACAACGCGAGTTTCTCGCCTCGGTGTGAATGTCGCTTTATTTTAATAAAGTTGCACAATTATTCAAATTGCGTATCTCGGCTTATTCGTTTAGTCGATACGATGCTTTTATTCTAGATAATTATTCCGATCGGAGGACTTTGTGCCTCGTGATTGTGAAACTATGATCACGCACTCGGCCGTGGCCATCACTCTATCATACAATGTTCGTGCGCTGAATTAACGAACGAGTATTCGGTGGTTAAATACAATAATTAATAATGTCCGCACAATATTCCGTATCCGCGTGACCCAATGCCCGTGGTTGTTATATACTCAATAATTGCACTTCCGTTAATTAACAATGTATCCGAATTTCAACTCGCGTATTGTTGCTAACACTCGATTGTATTTGGCAATTAATTGCCCCTCGCTGTTAGTTAAGACGAGTAGATTTTACGCGATAGTACGCGGGAGTTCTCGGTTGTAAAGTATAACGCGTATGCCGATCGTACAGAGTGTGATACGTGTGTTTGCCACGGCTATACCCGAGAGACTGCCTCGAGCGGTCGCTCTCGCTTGGGCTCCCCACTTATGCCGGATCGTTCCCACTCCTCGGAACTTTCTCGATCGTCTATTGTTCGCGGCCGGCACATCTGGGGCCCTATTCTCAAAAAATCTCGAAAAATATCGCATACGATATTTCACAAATGTTACTAGAATATCGCATGTCGCAGTAAATTTGTATTCTCGAATTTTTACAAGTACCTCGTATACGATAAATATCGTATATTTGGTATCGAATGGGTCAGACCAGTCGATACGAAATCTCGCATACGAAATTGAGGTAACGCGGGCAATGTATAGCTTTTAACACGTTGTGTCAGTTGTGTGGTTGGTTGATAGCTTACAGCAGATTTCGTTTTATATATTGTTTATAAGAAAGATTGGTGTAAATTAGGTAAAAAAAAACACATTTAGTGCTGTATTCGGTGTCAAACCTCATGTTTGCTCATGTTCGTGCTCACGCGAAGTATAACCTAGCAGTTCGTTGAGTATTGCACGTAATCTATTTTTCACGCAGATTTATTGGAACATGCAAAATTTAATAAATTTAGAAGCAATTCGTCTTCTCGAAGAAGTTGAAGGAGGAGCAGTGGTTAGGCGATTATTTCATGCAAGAAATGATCCTTTCGAGTTATCCAATAAGGATTTTATCCGATTATACAGAGTAAATAAAAGAATAGCTGAAGATATCAGTAATATTGTGTCGGAATATATTAATGAACAACCAAGACGATTATCAGCATTAGATATAAACACACAGGTAAATAAAATTATTAAATTATTTTTTGTATATGATTGTTTAAATGTTGTACCATTTACATAATATTTATTAAATTAATTTTTTACTATAGGTTGTAACAGCTCTACGCTTTATGGCATCTGGCAGTTACCAGACAGACATAGGATATAACATTAATTCAGCTGTTAGCCAACCATCTGTGAGCAGATGCATTAAAATCAACCAAAAGTATTAAATAGATGGGTTAAATGCCCTTCAACTTTAGAAGAAGTT